ACCCTGATGATCTCACTACTAGTTGTACAAGGTAATATCTGGGGTTGCTAAGGCCGTTCATTCACTTAAAGTGTATGGCTGTTCAGGTATTCACATATTCTTAAAGTGACCCTATTGGCATAAAAAAATAGAATAAAGCTGTTATCTGAAGATCATATGTGCGTGCCTTTCCTGCTTCTTGTAACCACTCTGTTGCTAAAGAATAATCCCCTAAAATCCATCAGGAAACCAACACTTCTGTAGATCGCCTGGGTCCCCCTCAGTGCAATGCGGTTCCTACAGCTGACCTCCATGTCATCATAGGATACACGATTAAAACAAAGTGACAGGGGATTGAATCATTCCCTACTCTATCCAAAACAAAAAGTATTGGCTATTTATGCACTTTACAACAAGCCCTCATTGACCTCTGTAGCTGCAGGCATTATGAAACAATTAATCCTCAAACTTCACAGCAGAAGCAAAGAAATTGTCAGTTTGTTCTCTCATAATCATAACTTGCTTCCTGTATCGGAGGGCCAGGGGAGGTAGAAGAGGTGAAGGGGGTGTGCATGTTCTTCAAGAGTGATTGGTTGGTGAACACAAGGGATGACATTACTTATGGGGCAATGGAGGGGGTGGAATCCCTATGGCTGGAGCTACAAGATGAAGAAGCAAAAGGTAAACTAATAGTGGGGTTATGTACCGGCTCACTACCGGCTCACTCTGTGCATTACTTACTCCTCCTGACCTCTTGACCTCATCTTATCCATTATATACGATGTATATCATGTATAGTATGTAACATGTTACTATGCTCCAGTCCTGGCAGCCCTGATCCCCCATTTTGGCAGTGGGCAGGGATTCTCTCCCCCCATCCTCAGTCACAATTTATAAACAGTGCGGCTGTGCAGGGCTCCACCCACGCGGTTGTGTCATTCATTCATTCACAGTTCCCTGTGAATGGATGGACTAAAAGTACCATTGCGGCTGATGGCTTGTAATTGTCAATGTACTGTGAGGGAGCTGGTGAGCGCTCTCATAGTCTATTGATCTTCCTGTTCTCAGGTAACTGAGACCCCTGCACTTCGTGCATTAGTTACTCTTGACCGCTACCATCTGTGCATTACTTTCTCCTGGCCCCTGCACTCTGTGCATTACTGTACTTACTCCTGGCCCCTGCACTCTGTGCATTATCTACTCCTGAACTCTTATCCATAGGATGTATATCATGTATTGAATGTAACGTTCCCTTGCTCCAGTTCTTGCAGCCATTTTTCCCCACTGTGGCAGCAGGCAGGGGATCCTCCTTCTGCACCCACAGTCACAATTTAAAAACAGTGCGGCTGTACAGGGCTCCACACAAACGGTTGTGTCATTCATAGGGCAGCACAGTGGCTAATGGTTAGCACTTCCGCTTGGCAGTACTAGGGTCGCTGGTTCAAATCCCAACCAGGGTACCACCTGCCTGGAGTTTGCATGTTCTCCCTGTGCCTGCGTGGGTTTCCTCCGGGTACTCCTGTTTCCTCCCACACTCCAAAGACATGCTGCTAGGTGAATTGGCTCCTGTCTAAATATGTGAGTTAGGGACCTTAGATTGTACGCCCCTTGAGGGTTAGGGACTGATGTGAATGTACAATATATATGTAAAGTGCTGTGTAAATTGACGGCGCTATATAAGTACCTGAAATAAATAAATTCATTCACAGTTACCTGTGAATGGATGGACTACAAGTACCATTGCGGCTGGTGGCTTGTAGTTGTCAATGTATTGCGAGGGAGCTGGTGAGCGCTCCCGTAGTCTATTGATCTTCCTGTCCTCAGGTAACTGAGACCTCTGCATTTCTTGCTTTAGTTACTCTTGACCGCTACACGCTATGCAATACTTACTCCTGGCCCCTGCACTCTGTGCAATACTTACTCCTGGCCCCTGCACTCTGTGCATTACTTACTCCTGGCCCCTGCACTCTGTGCATTACTTACTCCTGGCCCCTGCACTCTGTGCATTACTTACTCCTGGCCCCTGCACTCTGTGCAATACTTACTCCTGCCCCTGCACTCTGTGCATTACTTACTCCTGGCCCCTGCACTCTGTGCATTACTTACTCCTGGCCCCTGCACTCTGTGCATTACTTACTCCTGGCCCCTGCACTCTGTGCAATACTTACTCCTGGCCCCTGCACTCTGTGCATTACTTACTCATGGCTCCTGCACTCTGTGCATTACTTACTCCTGGCCCCTGCACTCTGTGCAATACTTACTCCTGGCCCCTGCACTCTGTGCAATTACTTACGCCTGGCCCCTGCACTCTGTGCAATACTTACTCATGGCTCCTGCACTCTGTGCAATACTTACTCCTGGCCCCTGCACTCTGTGCAATACTTACGCCTGGCCCCTGCACTCTGTGCAATACTTACTCCTGGCCCCTGCACTCTGTGCAATACTTACTCCTGGCCCCTGCACTCTGTGCAATACTTACTCCTGGCCCCTGCACTCTGTGCAATACTTACGCCTGGCCCCTGCACTCTGTGCAATACTTACTCATGGCCCCTGCACTCTGTGCAATACTTACTCCAGGCCCCTGCACTCTGTGCAATACTTACGCCTGGCCCCTGCACTCTGTGCAATACTTACTCATGGCCCCTGCACTCTGTGCAATACTTACTCCTGGCCCCTGCACTCTGTGCAATACTTACTCCTGGCCCCTGCACTCTGTGCAATACTTACTCATGGCCCCTGCACTCTGTGCAATACTTACTCATGGCCCCTGCACTCTTTGCAATACTTACTCCTGGCCCCTGCACTCTGTGCAATACTTACTCCTGGCCCCTGCACTCTGTGCATTACTTACTCATGGCTCCTGCACTCTGTGCAACTTACTTACTCCTGGCCCCTGCACTCTGTGCAATACTTACTCCTGGCCCCTGCACTCTGTGCAATACTTACTCCTGGCCCCTGCACTCTGTGCAATACTTACTCCTGGCCCCTGCACTCTGTGCAATACTTACTCCTGGCCCCTGCACTCTGTGCAATACTTACTCCTGGCCCCTGCAGTCTGTGCAATACTTACTCCTGGCCCCTGCACTCTGTGCATTACTTACTCCTCCTGCACTCTGTGCATTACTTACTCCTCTTATCCATTATATACGATGTATATCATGTATAGGATGTAACATGTTACTATGCTCCAGTGCTGGCAGCCCCGATCCCCCATTGTGGCAGCGGGCAGGGGATTCTCTCCCCCCATCCGCAGTCACAATTCAAAAACAGCCTGGCTGTGCAGGGCTCCGCCCATGTGGTTGTGTCATTCATTCACAGTTGCCTGTGAATGAATAGACTATAAGTACCATTGCGGCTGATGCCTTGTAGTTGTCAATGTACTGCGAGGGAGCTGGTGAGCGCTCTCATAGTCCATTGATCTTCCTGTTCTCAGGTGACTGCCTGCCTAAGATACAGGCAGACAGCTATACTGAGACTCTGCCGGAGCCTGACATTGCACCTGTGATCTGCTGATCGAGGGTGCAATGGTCTGCAGGCTCCTTAGAAAAAAAAAAATAAATGCACATTTTTTAACCTCCCTGCAAAAAGTGTGCATTTATAATTTTTTTATAAAGTGACCTTAGCCTAAGGGGCCCCCGGGCAGGGCAATTGGGGATCATGGGGTCCCTGTGTCCTTGCCCACACTCAAAACACACCCAAAAAAAGCCTATAAAAGGTACCAGGGGCATTTTATGGGGCCCCCTACTGACCCTGGGCCCTCGGGCAGTGCCTGAGTACTCGAATGGTCAGTCCGCCCCTGCTTAGCCTTCTTAAGCTAGACACCTAGTAGTAGATAGTCACATTCAGCTGGATTTGTTCTGTGATATTGAAGATGCTTCTCCAAGCCACTTCTTCGGTTCTAATGAGTGTCAGGAAGATACCCCAGCATTTGTATCCACACAGATAGCACCAACACCGTAATCCAGTCACCATGGAATGCGTCAAGGCAAATGCTGATTGTCCACACATTGGATGGGAGGTGTGAAAGTGGTGAAGACACTGTCAAGGTCCTACCTTTTCCCTGAGGTTATGTTACTCCATGTGCTGGCGTCCATCTTGGATTCTGCTGAGCATGGTGGGAATCCTTTATGCCTTCAGGTCTCTGAGGTCCATCCCCCAGAGGGGTGTGGCTGATGACATATAAGCCTGTGGTCCGCACATGCTCTTTGCACTTGTGTCTTGGTGTTGCTATTACTCTGTTCTGACTCTCGTGACTCTCCTGGTATCTGATTCGGCTTGTACTCGACTATTCTTTGTATTCTCCTTTAATCTGACTCTCCGTTGCTGAACCCGGCTCGTGACCTGTGATTCTCGTCTGCTGTCCTGTACTGTTTTGTCCTATTGTTGTTGACCCGGCCTGTCTGACTACTCTTTTGTCTTTTCCACCTGCTACACGCCATTGGCGGCAGCCATTACCGCAGCTGGGGTGTCTCGGGGGCCGCGACCTGGTTCCTGGCTGCGTCAAGTCCATCCCCACCATCAGGGGCCCTGGTGAAGGGCAGCCTGGAACTTAGACTCCGCGCCCTGAGGGACTTCGGTCTGTGGGTGGTGGTTGTCGTCAGCCAGTGCGTTACATTGTTAGGCCTGCCTGTCCATTCCCCGACCCCTGCCCTGACAGACACCCAGTTCTAGTTACACCATCCCATCCTTGGTGTCAAGAAGGCTGCTTAGGTCAACTGAACAGGATTCAACATTTACCCACATTTCCAGTTGATGATTTATGAAATGAAGTAATTGTGTGCTATTAGTCGGCCTGCAGAGAATGACGGTAACATTTGCGTTTCGTTTTATCATTTATTGCCAGTCGCAGTTTATATCGATGTTTTTTTATACAGTCGCTTCATTCCGTTACACTTATAAAGAGCTGTCGGATAATGCCTCCCTCGCTTCCTCTCTGTAGAATGTGTCTCGACTCGCGGCATAATCCCGGACGTTGGGGAGGCCGGGTAAAACGCAGCAGTCCAGGGCGCTGCGATCGATGTTCATATTGTGGACGCCGTACCACTCATTGGTCTTCCTGTCATAATACTCTGCTGCAAAAAGGTCGTTTCAAAACCGTTGAAACCTCCGGCCACATAAAGGAGATCCTCCAAGACCTCAATCCCGAAATTGCTCCGTGGGCTGAACATGGAGCTTATCTCATTCCAGGTGTTAGTGGCTGGGTTATAGGCCTCGGCATTGTGCAGTCTGTCGGCTCCATCAAATCCTCCAACCTGTAGGAAACAATACATATTACTGTGGTCTACTTCATGTGGGAAACTGGGCTTCACAAGGATGATGGGTATGGTCCCAAAGGGCCCCTTAACATGAAATACATTTTTTTTATCGGTAACGTGAGGGAACGCAGTTCCGACACCTCCATCACTGAATGTATGTAATGGCAAGGGGTGTTGGGATGTGCCGGAGGGTCTATTGATTGACTGCTGGGGGATCTATTGTCACTGGTGGTGATGTTTTTGTGTGAGGGTCTAGTGTTCCTGGTGCGGATCTATTGCAGCTGGGGGGAGGTCTTGTGTTGTCATTAGAGATCTACTGTTCAGGGGGAGCTTGCTGGCTGCTGGAGGAGCTATTGATGCCCACTGTTGGGAGATCTGTTGATGCTGCTGGGGGTCTAATCTTGGTATGTTAATGTTGCTAATGTCGGGGATGGTATTTTTGTTGTGGGTGGTCCATTGTTGCTGTGTGAGGGGTCTATTGGTGTGTGGGGGATCTAATGTTGCTGTGGTGGGGGTCTATTGTTGCTGCAGGGAATATATTGTTGCTGGAGAGGAATCTATATTTGCTAGGGGAAACTATTGTTGCTGGGGTGGTGTCCATTGTTGCTGGGGTAGTCTATTGTTCCTATATTGTAAGCTCCCAGGATCAGGGCCCTCCTAACCCTCTTGTATTGTTCCTAGATTGTAAGCTCCCAGGATCAGGGCCCTCCTAACCCTCTTGTATTGTTCCTAGATTGTAAGCTCCCAGGATCAGGGCCCTCCTAACCCTCTTGTATTGTTCCTATATTGTAAGCTCCCAGGATCAGGGCCCTCCTATCCCTCTTGTATTGTAGATTCCTAGATTGTAAGCTCCCAGGATCAGGGCCCTCCTAATCCTCTTATATTGTTGCTGTATTGTAAGCTCCCAGGATCAGGGCCCTCCTAACCCTCTTGTATTGTTCCTAGATTGTAAGCTCCCAGGATCAGGGCCCTCCTATCCCTCTTGTATTGAACTGTATTGTTGCTGTATTGTCTCCCTTTATATTGTAAAGCGCTGAGCAAACTGTTGGCGCTATATAAATCCTGTATAATAATAATTATTGTGTGGGGATCTATTGTTGCTGGCTGCAGGGGATCTATTTTACTGCTTTTCTTGTTATAATTAACAAATTCCATATAAATTATTTAGCAGGTAGGGGCGGAACCAAGGGACGCTGCTCAGAGGAAGATTGGAGGTAGAAAAAATGGGGGAAAAGGGGGGAAGTTCCTGCACCTATTCTTCTATTCTTTGAGAAACAAAGCCCTGATAACATGTAACCCTTGTAGTGTGATAGGTATTTTTGGGGGGCTTTAAGAGCATACTCTTCTAGATACTTGATTGTTGTTGGCCTTATTGACTTGAGTTTATTGACTTCATAGCTAGGCTCTACCAACTGCCATGCCCATAGCCAATGAAAATACCTTTATTGACTGCTAAGGCTGCCTCACTGGACGATGGAATGGACAATCTCCAAGGTTTAGCCATAAAGTCCTGGCCAAGGCTTGGAGGTTGTCCAATTCATTGTCCAGTGAGGAAGCCTGAGTGGTCAGCAAGGGTATTCTCAATGGACTTGGGTATGGTAATTGGTGGAGCTTAGCCATGAAGTCAAGGAAAAGCAGGTAACAGGCTAGTAAATTCAAGCAAGTATCTAGAAAATTCTGCTCTTACAGCCCAACTCCAGATAAAACAAAAAATAAAGTGCCCCCCCCCCCCCCCCCCCCACACACACACACACACACACATACACTGCAACGGTTACATGTTCTCTAAGTCTAAAGGGTTGTAGATGAAGCATATTACTTCTTGCTCCTGCAAGCTACCTCCTTAGTAAGCTATTCCCAGCTCTCCCAGCTCCTACCGCCACCAAATACAATGCATGGTCAATAGACCTATACAAAGTGGCATGAAACATCAAATTAATACATAAATATGTCCATCATAAAGTGCAAATGAAAGTCCAATCAGTCCAAAAATTGCACTTTATGATGGACATATTTATGTATTAATTTGATGTTTCATGCCACTTTACATAGTTAGTCTGGCTGAAAAAGACAAAAGCGCATCCAGTTCAACCATTAAAAAAAAAAAGTTATAATCCTACACCCACAGTTCATCAGCGGAAGGAAAAAAACCCAGCACAGCATGATCCAATTTGCTCCTGCAGGGAAAAAAAATCCTTTCTGATCCCCCGAGAGGCAATCAGATATTCCCTGGATCAACTTTACCTATAAATGTTAGTATCCAGTTATATTCTGTGTATCCAAGAAAGAATCCAGGACTTTCCTACAGCAATCCACTGAGCTGACCACAACCAACTCTTGAGGGAGTCTAATCCTAGATTGTAAGCTCCAGGATCAGGGCCCTCCTATCCCTCTTGTATTGAACTGTATTGTTGCTGTATTGTCTCCCGTTATATTGTAAAGCGCTGACCAAACTGTTGGCGCCATAAATCCTGTATAATAATAATAATAATATATATAAATCCTGTATAATAATAATATATAAATCCTGCATAATAATAATAATAATATGCCACATTTTCACAGCTCTTACTGTGAAGAAACCTTTCCGTGTTTGGAGATTAAATTTCTTATCCTCCAGATGTAAGGAGCGCCCCCTTGTCCTCTTTGTATATCTCCGATTATATTGTCACCTATGATATTGTGCTAGCTGCTTTCCCTTGCCGTGAAATTTGTGCCCTAGCGCAATTATATATATTTTTTATATTTATATGGTCAATGGACCTGCGTTGTGTGTGATAATGCACAGATCAGAGCTTCAGGGAAAAGAGAGCAGTGCTAGAATGAGGAGTCAGGTAAGTAATGCAGCTCCTTGTTCTACCCCTTAGGCTTACCAAGCATTTGTCATTCAATCTCATTTCGGTAGAAAGTAATCATTACAGATACCGCATAGATCAGATCTCCATAGGCGATGACACCGACACCACTGCGTCGGCTCCACATCGGGGCGATGATGCTCCAGTGCTCTGTATCTGGGTTGTAGACTTCTGCTGTGAACAGACATTCCTCACCATCAAATCCGCCACATATATAGATCTGTAAAAACATAATAAAAGTGATATTAAACTCCTGGTTTTTGATACACTCAATGGCATCGGGGGGGAGAACGCATTAGTGTGAATAGGCCGTAACGTTACAGCAACACACCGGAAGCCTGATATAACATAATGGCAGCTGAAAAACCCCAGTGTGTTACCTCCAGGGCAGGGGCGGACTGACCATTTGGCACTGCCCGAGGGCCCGGGGTCAGTAGGGGGCCCCATGAGATGCCCCTGGTACCTTTTTCATAGGCTTTTTTGAGTTTGGGCAAGGACACAGGGGCCCCATGATTCCCTATTGCCCGGGGGCCCCATGAGTTGTTAGTCCGCCCCTGCTCCAGAGCTGTTTATGTAAAAGAAACCTGGACTTGACCATCCTTTCTTCACTGCCTAGCAGGTCCCTGACCTGGCACAAGGAATGTTCTCTGACCTCCATGTCATTGCTGAGTCCTGTAGTGGCCCAGTGGATGGGGGATGGAAACTGTGACGGGAGTCACTTTGGGTGGGGGGCCCATGGAACCCAGCTCACTTTAGAGAGGTGGGGAGACCCCGTCTCAGCTCCCCATATCCCTATTATGTGTAAGTCACCCTGTGCCTGTTAGGGGTACAGGGTGATCTGTCCTAATATTGTTTAGACATGTCTAGGAGATAGGTGGGGTGGGGGGTTGTGGATTGTTTGGTGTTATGTGGTTGCATCCCATTGTTCTATTGTTTGTCTTGCATGGGAGAAAACTATTATGGGATGTATGTGTTTATCTATATTAGCTTAATGGGGGGGGGGGGATGTCACCAGCAGCCCTCCCTCCTGATGGGACTGTCTGCTGGAGTGAATTTTGAATACCTGTGGGTCTCGTTACTAAATGTAGATTGCCCCGCCCTATGACATTATGCAGGGGGGGAGGGATTTGTCCCTGGAGTGTCTATATCTTGTATCTGTTTTCAAATAAACTAGTCTACTTTCTGGATTACTTCAAATCTGTGGTGTCTGTTGTCGGTGTTTGGACGGGGAAGCAGTATTCTAACGGAAGTACTCAGCGGAGGCTGGGACGGTTTTGTTACAGAAACACATCAACAGATCGCGGGTACAGTTTTTGTGTCAGGGTCCTGTCCACGGCAGAAGTTCTGGAAGAATCTGGCATTTCTGACAGTACTCTGCATGGCCGCAGAAGGACACATCAGCCTCAGTTTGGTGCCAGACGGGAGGCTCATCACTTCAAGTTGCTGGATGATCTCTAGCTCCCCGTGCCTGGTTTCTGTTTCCTGTTTCCTATGACTTTGACCCGTGATTTCCTGTTACCGACTCGGCTTGCTCCTGGACCTGTCTACTCTTCCTTACCCCTGATCTGACCTCGGCTTGGCTTATGGATACTCTCTCTCACTCCTCTGTGAATGACCTTGGCTATCCTATTTGACTACGTCTGCTCTGATTCCCACCTGGTACCTGACCTTGGCTTCAACCGACTACCCAGTAAACATCTAAATCCCGGAAGGGCTTGCATACCACGCACAGGCACCTCCTGTCTGCAGACCTATCTCCGTGCACCAGCTGTGCTTCTGAGTGGACCACCAACCTGCACTCCTACAGGCGACCTGTGCAACTTTGGGCCTGACTCCCGCTGTCCCCCTCTCAGGGGAGTCCGGAACTTAGCCGCAAGGGGAGCCCTCTCTCCATTGGCCTTCATCACCAGGTACGTGATAGCTTTGATCCTGCAGACACTCAGTAAGCTGTCTGCCCATACCTCCGATACAGGGAGGAAGTTACTGAATGGGAGGAGGTATCAATGAACTACAAGGACGCTGACCAGTGCCCTCGCGGTTCCTGAGGAACTACAAGCCATCGGCCACAATGGCTGACGGTACATGTAGTCTGATTCATTCACAGGAAACTTTGAATGAGTGACGTGGCCATGTGGGCGGAACAGTACACTGTTTTCAAAAAGTGACAGCTGGTGCGGGGAGAAGATCCCATGCCTGCTGTCACAGAGCGGGGAGCACTGCCGGTGGGAGATGGGTTACTAGGAGCATGTTACATGTTACACCCTAATTATGGGCGTAACACATAACATGCTCCTAAAGGTGAACTTAACCTTTAAGTAGGTGTCTATATCTTTTTTTTTTAACAGTTGCGTTTATTGAAATCGTACAAAAGTATAACAAATCAAGGTACATAAGAACAAGCAATCTTACGGCAGTCAGTAGACATACAATACACATGAGATTCCGATGCTTTAAATCCCACAGAGTCAACCGGTCATCCTGAGTCAGAGTAGGAGAGGTGTCTATATCTTACCTTGCCATTGAGGGTGGTGGCTTTTGCATCGCTTCTTATTTCATTCATTGAAGCAATATAATCCCATTGATTCGTTTCTGGATTATAACACTCTGCAGAGTTCAGACGAATCTGGCCATTATATCCACCCATGGCATAGATACGGTTTTTCAGGACCGTCGTGCTAACATAGCAGCGCTTATCATTCATGGGAGCTACTTGCTGCCAGATCTTCCTGACTGGGTCAAACCGTCTTACGCTGCTGAAGTAATATATGTCGTTTAACCCTCCAACCAGGTACACATAACCATTGAGGTATGCTGTTCCATGGTAGGCCCTAGGGCTTTCCACTTCATAGCTAATGTCAACCCAGTGGTCGACTCTGCAGTCATAGGCCTCGATGGCATTGGTAGGGCTCCCAGAGCTCCAGCCGCCAATGGCAAGTAGTATTGCACTGGGCAGGCGCGGCCTTGTCAATGGGTTCTTGAAATATGACCTGGAGGATCCATTTGCGTTTAAGTCATACTTTGTCTTTAGCACACTGGTAACAAGATTCATACATTCTTGGCTGTGCTTTACATGAATGTTGGTCATCACATTGTTTATTAAATACATGGTGTGCATTAAGGCCATTCGAACCTAGGGAAGAAGAGAAAAACAGGTTTTTATATTGTAGAGGTCAACAAAACTCAACAGACAATCATCAAGGTACTCAACAGTCCAATATAACATTGGCACCATATGAGCTGTGAAGTATAAAGTTTTCTTTATGGAAGGAATACTGGTAAGGAAGTAGACTTTACTCAGTGGTGTTACAAATATAACTTGTAATTTCACAGTACCAGAGGAGTGTTTCATTGGAGGGGTGGTAGTAGGGTTCAATGACATGAGGTTCCATTAGGTGTCTGCAGTAAATGATGGTCAGAGGCAGTCTGTCTGGGATCGGTGCAATAGAGACACCTTGAAAAGGCAACTTACACATCCCTGCTTCTCCAGAACCAGTCCCTACTTCTTCACCTGCGCTTTTCCTAACCAGTAGAGCTCTCTCCCTGCCTTACTGCCTCACTGAGGGTGGGCCAAATGACGTTGGCCCCTTTACTTATAGGGACCTTTGTCAAGATGGCCTCCCCAATCTTGCGGAATATCATTATCCAATCAGAACATCATCCTCCCCAAAATGGCCACCTGGAGCCCAAGATAGGAAACATTTCCTCCCAACTGGTCTCATGCCAACCTGAAGAAGTAGGCTGGAGGATGTACCGCAGCCTGCTCATGCCTTTATACTGGTTGGCAGAAATACAACACTGTCAAATGACTTTCCCCAAAATGTTCCGGTAGGGAATGTTGGCTATGGTCAGGGAGCCTATAGAAAAACAAACTTGATCTAACCATAAATGGCTTGGTATAGCAAACACTCTCAGATATCGAAAGATACCTCAAGGCTGTTCAGTTTAAGATTACCTATAACATTATGTGTGCATTTTTACAAATTGTGGGCAGGAAGGGGTTAAAAACCTTCACTATTTTTCTCAAAGAAGTTGTTCAACAGGGATGCAGATTCCACTTTTCGAGAATGTACCTACAAAGCCATACAGGAATGCGGAATATTTTTTTCTTGAAATTGGTAAATGGTGGCTTCCACCTTACCTTAGGCAGTAGGGTGGTGATGCATTGCCTACGATCAGCTGGGTGGTGTTCAATCCATTTGATGATGGCCTCAAAGATGACTTCCTCCCTTTTAACATTAAGATTGTCTTTCTTGATGAGATCCTTAAACTCTGTTACGGTTAGATCCAGAAACTCCTCAGAAGTCAATGCTATTTCTGAAAGTGCTGAAGAATGAATGCTTGGGTGTTCTGGAGTAGCTTGGGGCCGTGAAAACAGCTGGAGAATCTGCTGATGCCAACACAGTTCTTGGGACATAGCTGGCCAATAAGGAAGTCCATGCATCGCCATAGTAGACCCAGGATGTTGAATTGGTCCGCGGCCATAAACAGTTCTTGTACGTTCTCGAAGTTTATGAATATTTTATTGGTGTAGGCGTAATGAAGGATCAACCTCATCATGTCTGGGGTAATTCCGGGTATGTGGTACATGTTCTTATTGGCCTCTTTCCATCTTCTGGAAAATAGAGCTCTGGGAGGAGGAGAAGAATTCACGTTATACTGCTGTTTTTAAAATAAAGCATTTTATTTATTCAATATGTTTTTTTGGGGGGATTTGCAGTATCACAAATGATACACTATATTGCCAAAAGTATTGGGACACCCCTCCAAATCATTGGATTCAGGTGTTCCAATCCCCTTCATGGCCACAGCTGTATACAATCAAGCCCCTAGGCATGCAGACTGCTTCTACAAACATTGGTGAAGGAATGGGTCGCTCTCAGGAGCTCAGTGACTCCAAGCGTGATCCCGTGATAGGTGGTCACCTGTGCAATAAGTCCATCCGTGACATTTCCTGGCTACTAAATATTCCACGCTCAACTGTTAGTGGGATTATAACAAAGTGGAAACAACTGGGAACAACAGCCACTCAGCCACCAAGTGGTAGGCCACGTCACATGACAGAGCGGGGTCAGCGCATGCTGAAGCGCACATTGCGCAGAAGTCACCAACTGTCTGCAGAGTCAATAGCTAAAGACCTCCAAACTTGGTGTGGCCTTCAGATTAGCACAACAACAGTGCGTAGAGAGCTTCATGGAATGGGTTTCCATGGCCGAGCAGCTGCATCCAAGCCTTCCATCACCAAGTGCAATGCAAAACGTCGGATCCAGTGGTGTAAAGCATGCTGCCACTGGACTCTAGAGCAGGTGAGACGTGTTCTCTGGAGTGACCAATCACGCTTCTCTGTCTGGCAATCTGATGGACGTGTCTGAGTTTGATAGTTACCAGTAGAACAGTACTTGCCTGACTGCATTGTGCCAAGTGTAAAGTTTGGTGGAGGGGAGATTATGGAGTGGGGTTGTTTTTCAGGGGTGGGGCTTGGCCCCCTAGTTCCAGTGAAGGGAACTCTTAAGGCGTCAGCATACCAAGACATTCTGGACAATATCATGCTTCCAACTTTGTGGGAAGAGTTTGGGGATGGCCCCTTCCTGATCCAACATGACTGCGCACCAGTGCACAAAGCAAGGTCCATAAAGACATGGAGGAGCCATTTTGGGGTGGAGGAACTTGACTGGCCTGCACAGAGTCCTGAACTCACACCCCTACTGGACATAAGAACAGACATTTATTAAAAGTCAGCACCTACAGTATTTGTAGCTGCTGACTTTTAACTTTTAAGGGGGGACTGAAGAACCTCTTTAATGTGCACTAAAGTACTTTAAAGTGATATTAAAGTGTTACGAACCCCGGACCCTGCATTCACTATATGTGGTCTCCCAGGACCCTGCATTCACTATATGTGGTCTCCCAGGACCCTGCATTCACTATATGTGGTCTCCCAGGACCCTGCATTCACTATATCTGCTCTCCCAGGACCCTGCATTCACTATATGTGGTCTCCCAGGACCCTGCATTCACTATATCTGGTCTCCTAGGACCCAGCATTCACTATACCCGCTCTCCCAGGACCCTGCATTCACTATATCTGGTGTCCCCGCACCCTGCATTCACTATATCTGCTCTCCCCGGACCCTGCATTTACTATATCCGGTCTCCCCGGACCCTGCATTCACTATATCCGGTCTCACCGGACCCTGCATTCACTATATCTGGTCTCCCCGGACCCTGCATTCACTATATCCGCTCTCCCCGGACCCTGCATTCACTATATCTGGTCTCCCTGGACCCCGCATTCACTGTATCTATCTGGTCCCCCCGGACCCTGCATTCACTATATCCGCTCTCCCCGGACCCTGCATTCACTATATCCGCTCTCCCCGGACCCTGCATTCACTATATCCGCTCATTCCCCGGATTCACCTGCATTCACTATACCCGCTCTCCCAGGACCCTGCATTCACTATATCTGGTCTCCCCGCACCCTGCATTCACTATATCTGCTCTCCCCGGACCCTGCATTTACTATATCCGGTCTCCCCGGACCCTGCATTCACTATATCCGCTCTCCCCGGACCCTGCATTCACTATATCCGCTCTCCCCGGACCCTGCATTCACTATACCCCGCTCTCCCAGGACCCTGCATTCACTATATCTGGTGTCCCCGCACCCTGCATTCACTATATCTGCTCTCCCCGGACCCTGCATTCACTATATCCGCTCTCCCCGGACCCTGCATTCACTATTTTCGCTCTCCCCGGACCCTGCATTCACTATATCTGGTCTCCCACAGAACGCAGAACATGGAAATGCAATTATTGTAATAAATATAAACTGCTAAATACCTTTTCTTATCAGCAATATACAGTTTATCACTCTTGTGACTTTTATCAGTGTCCAGCCAACCACTGGTTAAAGCTCGTAGGAGGAGTTTTCTTTCTGCTCTAGATGATGCAGAACCCCTGACCTCTGTCTGAACACTGCTGATTGGCCCTGTGCTGATCACATGCGCAAAAAAAAAAAAAAATCTCCCAAGCAAAAAAAAAGCCTCTCTAGGAATACACACCAAACTGAGCATGTGCAGAGTGTCTCCATATGTCTTATCAGGAGATAAGAGGGGGGCACTGGAAGAAGGGCAAGATCAGAGAAGACAGGATCAAACATCCTTTTTACACACACTCTCTAGCAATACACACTAAACTGAGTATGTGCAGAAGGGCTACGGTTTAGTCTGTCTTATCAGTGTGGACATTTGAACAAGAGGAGGGGCAGAGAAGTCAGGATCACACAGCCTTTGTAAATAATGTGGAGGATTAACCCCTTAGCTTCCACAGTGAGTATAACAAGCATGCTTTACTGCATCTACAGACTGATTGTACTGTTGTAGGTTCAGTAACACTTTGTTGCTGTAGTGCGCAAAAACACCTAAGTGTACAAAAAAGTGCACGTGAAACACACACAAAAAGTGCACTTAAGGGTGTTTCTCTTGTCCACCCCCTAAGGAGTAGGACCTTACCCTGACCCCCCTCAGGGTGCAAAGCTCCTGACAGAGGCAGGGATCCAACATGGTCCACCTAGCCAAAAGGCCTGGTGGACCTTTTTCCGGCCAGCCGAAGCCAACTACTGGACACTAGGTGAGGGGCTTTTCTAAAGACAGACCCCCCAGTTCAGGGAAGGAAGAAACCTAATGGCCACACATCCTTCCCCCTAGACTTCAGGGTAGGCCCTCCATCCAGTGAAAAAGTGCAGGTGCAGATGCACTGGCTAGGCCTTGCAGCCTGGCAGCAAAAATGATTCCGGACTTGCCAAAAAGCCTAGCCCATAGAGGTGCTGTGCAGAAAAAAAGGCATGTGCCTTTTCACACCGTTGGGATCCCAAACACAAGACCCTAGCCCAAGAAGCTACTGCAGGCTATTTGGCCATCAGCAGGGGCGGACTGACCATTTGGAAACTCGGGCACTGCCCGAGGTCAGTAGAGGGCCCCATGAGATGCCCCTGGGACCTTTTTCATAGGCTTTTTTGAGTTTGGGCAAGGACACAGGGGCCCCATGATCCCCTATTGCCCGGGGGCCCCATGAGTTGTCAGTCTGCCCCTGGCCATCAGCATAGTAAATGGAAACCATGGCTTCTATGAAGTAGGGTCTCAGTAGGGCTTGGGACCCAACAAGATGGTTTAGCCATACAGGTTGCGTTGAGAAGGGACTAAAGCAATCAAAAAGCCCTCCAACCGAATCTGCGCATGGTACAGTAACTATTCCCGTGTCTCATTCTATCACATATCCCAAAAATAAAAGAATTGCTCATTTCAGGACAAGCAGGCAGAGCTATGCAAATCAATGCTTTGCGCACCACATTGGCCAGATGCACCATACACCAGCTGTTCTGCACGTGCATCTGGCCAATGGGGCAACCTAATTAGTTGCAAAATGTTCTTCCAGCTCTTCCTCGTTAATACTACTTACTTTTCCAGCTTTCTGTTGGCCGGTCCCAATTTTTTTGAGACATGTTGCTGTCTTCAGTTTCAAACCCGGAGCACTGACACCAACGATGGGGCACTATTTGTCCCACAGACACACAGAACAGTGGTCTCCAAACTGCGGCCCCCTGCTAGCCTCTATCCGGCCCTCAGAGCACCATTCCTCCCACTGACACAAACAAGGAGGCACCATTTTTTCCACTGGCACCAACTATGGTGTATTTTTCCTTCCATTGACAAAAATAATGGGGCACAATTCCTCTCACTGATATAAACAGTTAGGTACTATTTCTCCAACTAATACCAATGATGGGGCACTATTCCTGCCACTGACACCAATGATGGGGCACTATTCCTCCCACTGATACCAATGATGGGGCACTATTCCTACAACTAATGCCAATGATGGGGCACTATCCCTGCCACTGACACCAATGATGGGGCACTGTTCCTCCAACTAATACCAATGATGGGGCACTATTCATCTTACTGATACCAATGATGGGACACTATTCCTCCCACTGACACCAATGATGGGGCACTATTCCTCCTACTGATACCAATGATGGGGCACTATTCCTCCCACTGATACCAATGATGGGGCACTATTCCTCCCCCTAATACCAATGATGGGGCACTATTCCCGCCACTGATATCAAAGATGGGGCACTATTCCTCCTACTGACACCAACGATGGGGCACTATTCCTCCAACTAATACCAATGATGGGGCACTATTCCTCCTACTTATACCAATGATGGGGCACTATTCCTCCCACTGACACCAGTGATGGGGCACTATTCCTCCCACTGACACCGACAATGGGGCACTATTCCTCCCACTAATACAATGATGGGGCACTATTCCTCTCACCGACACCAACGATGGGGCACTATTCATCCCACTGACACCAACGATGGGCCACTATTCCTCCCACTGACACCAATGATGTGGCACTATTCATCCCACTAGTAGCAATGATGGGGCACTATTCCTCCCACTGACACCAATGATGGGGCACTATTCCTCCCACTGACACCAATGATGGGGCACTATTCCTCCCAGTGATACCAATGATTGGGCACTATTCCTCCCACTGATACCAATGATGGGGCACTATTCCTCCCACTGACACCAATGATGGGGCACTATTCCTCCCACTGACACCAATGATGGGGCACTATTCCCCCCACTGATACCAATGATGGGGCACTATTCCCCCCACTGATACCAATGATGGGGCACTATTCCTCCCACTGACACCAATGATGGGGCACTATTCCTCCCACTGACACCAATGATGGGGCACTATTCCTCCCACTGACACCAATGATGGGGCACTATTCCTCCCACTGACACCAATGATGGGGCACTATTCCTCCCACTGACACCAATGATGGGGCACTATTCCTCCCACTGACACCAATGATGGGGCACTATTCCTCCCACTGACACCAATGATGGGGCACTGTTCCTCTAATACCAATGACTGGACACTATTCCTCCTTCCACTGACTACCAGCACTATGTCATTTTTTTTTTACTCCTACTGATGCTGGGGAATTTTCTACTCCTAAACTCTGAAAGACAGTAAACCGGCCTTCTGTTTAGAACGTTTGGAGACCCCTGGTCTATAAGACTGAGGAAAGACAGTGAGTACAGAGACTTTTAGACTGATGTAACCACTTTCAACCAGCAATCTTAAAACAGCCAAGCAGACCGAAGCATAGCCCCAAAATGTTAGGTCATTTCATGGTATTGATGAACACCGTCAGTGGGCGGTTGTATAAATCTGGTTGGATGGTTTTGGATGAAAAGCTTGGACAAGGCTTGGGAACGCCAACCTGAGGAGCATCATACAGGAGGAGTGTGAAAAGCAATGCATGAAATCTCACCAAGCCTTCAGCTCCAGTCTGGGAGATCTGGATGTAGATCCTACATTGATATTGACCTATTTTGGGCCAGAAAAGTCTCTCATTTCCTTTCGGATTTAGCTTCACTTAGCGGCTGGGGCCTAATCATCCCTGGCCTAGGCCATGCCCAACAGTTGTTTAAGTTCCACTGTCTCAGTGACCAGTGAAGGCCAACTGCCACTGGACATGGGAAGGCAATGTGATGTCATCATACTATGGATGGTCAATTCCCATCCTAATGTTGGCTGCAGTTCTTGGATCAGGTTCTTGCAGCTTAATTGCAGCTAAACGGGTCTCATCCCCAGGGTCACACCTAAGCGTTTTCCTCATCGTTTTGCAGAAATGCACTACAGTCCATTTAACATGATTTCCTATGGGACAGGTTCACATCTCCGCGTTTTCACCCGGTGCATTGTTTGGAAAGGGCCAGGGACTTTTTTTGAACGCAAAACGTTGTGTTTTTGGTTCTACACACTTCAATGGCAATGCTGCAGAAAAGCATGTAGTGCGTTTTTGCCGCGGTTTGAGTTTAAAATCTGCCTAGCAACAAACAAAATGTAAAAAAAACCCCAACGCAAAACGCATCAGCAATGCATCAAACACAACCTGCATAGACGTGAACCTAGACTTTATTTTTTATTTTTTTTCAGGTACTTATATACGTCAATTTACGAATATATTGTACATTCACATTAGTCCCTAACCAGGGGCGGACTGACCATCTGGAAACTCGGGCATTGCCCGAGGGCCAGTAGGGGGCCCCATGAGATGCCCCTGGTACCTTTTTCATAGGCTTTTTTGAGTTTGGGCAAGGACACAGGGGCCCCATGATCCCCTATTACCCAGGGGCCCCATGAGTTTTCAATCCGCCCCTGTCCCTAACCCTCAATGGGTGTACAATGTAAGGTCCCTAACTCACATTCATACATACACATATTAGGGACAATTTAGACAGGAGCCAATTAACCTACCAGCATGTCTTTGGAGTGTGGGAGGAAACCGGAGTACCCAGAGGAAACTCACGCAGGCACAGGGAGAACATGCAAACTCCAGGCAGGTGGTGCCATGGTTGGGATTCGAACCGATGACCCTAGACTTAATCAAGTTTATCAACGCTTACCTAAAATAAAGGCTGCACACAGAGAGAATGATCTTATGGGCTTTGAACTCAACATCATCCACCTTGATAGTGACATCACAGAACTTGTCCTCCAGCCGCAGCTCATCGAACGTGATCCAGGCCATTCTTCTGATTGTCTGTTCCAGGCTGTCAGTACTGGAACAGAATGATAGGGACCCGAAGTTCCAATCCATTGGCAGTGCTGGAGGTCCTGCGCTGTCCGCCCCTGACATGTCTCTACTGAACTGACAGTTGACTGTACTGCTGAGGTCACCTGACATTTCAAAACTGACCAATAAGAAGCCACTGCATTATTCTAAGTTACAGTATAACATGTTGACGTCTGGAAATTATGAAAAACGGTTTTCCTTTAATATCAAGTCTTTAGCAATGTACAGGACATCCATCACTTGAATTTGATGTGCTTAATAATTGATGTGCGACTTGTCATGTGACTTAACAGAACAAAGTCACATGACAAGTCGAACCCTATTTGTGGCTATCGAACTCTTCAAATCGGTGCGATCTGACTCTGCACTATTTCATGTGCGACTTGCATTGACATCTGTGCATTAAGTCGCACAGATGTAGGCAAGCCGCAGGTGAAGTGGCACAGATCGGCGGCTTTGAGATCGAGCTGAAGTAGCATCATTTCAAAGTCATATTCGGTGTGAACCGGGGCTAACACTGTCCATATCATCCCAAATACTTCATGTATCCGGGTTTATATATATTCTGTGTGTTAAGGTAAAAAAATATTTAGCAAGCAGTCCCCTCCTGACACCTACCTGAGTTCAATCTCAGTCCAGAAATGTGGCCCAGCAACTCAACTCCTCCTCCCAGCGGTGGCAGAACAGGTCTGCTACCCTATCCTGCAGTGATGGAACACATTAACGCCCCTCCCAGCAGTGACTACTCAGCTCCCCTTGCACACCCCTGCTAGCATTGGTTCAACAGATCAGCTCCCCCTCCCCGCAGTGAGTGAACAGCTCAGCTCCCCCTCCCAGTATTGACGCAACAGCTTAGCTCCCCCACCCTGCAGTGACTGAAGAGATCAGCTCCCCATCCCAGCAGTGACTACATACTCCCCACCCCCCACCCAGCATTGGCTCATTAGCTCAGCTCCCCCTCCCAGCAGTGACTACTTACCCCCCATCCCCACCCAACATTGGCTCATTAGCTCAGCTCCCCCTCCAAGCAGTGACTGAAGAGATCAGCTCCCTCTTCCAGCAGTGACTATCCCTCCCCCCAGCATTGGCTCAGTAGCTCAGCTTCCCCTCCCAGCAGTGACTACTCCACCCCACCCCCAGTATTGGTTCTTTACCTCAGCTCCTCCTCCCAGCAGTGACTACCTCCCCCCAGTTTTTGTCTGTTAGCTCAGCTCCCACTCCCAGCAGTGACTAACCACCCCCCCAGCATTGGCTCATTAGCTCAGCTCCCCCTCCCAGCAGTGACTATCCCCCGCCCCAGTAGTGGTTTATTACCTCAGCTCTCCGTCTAAGCAGTGACTACCTCCCCCAGTATTGGTTCATTATCTCAGCTCCCCCTCCCAGCAGTGACTAACTCCCCCAGTATTAGTTCAGTAGCTCAGCTGCCCCTCCCAGCAGTGTGACTACCCCCCCCCCCAGTATTAGTTAAGTAGCTCAGCTCCCCCTCCCAGCAGTGACTATCCCCCGTCCCAGTAGTGGTTCAGTAGCTTAGCTCCCCCTCCCAGCAGTGACTACCTCCCCCAGTATTGGTTCATTATCTCAGCTCCCCCTCCCAGCAGTGACTAACTCCCCCATTATTAGTTCAGTAGCTCAGCTCCCCCTCCCAGCAGTGACCCCCCCCCCCCCAGTATTAGTTCAGTAGCTCAGCTCCCCCTCCCAGCAGTGACTACCTCCCCCCAGTATTAGTTCAGTAGCTCAGCTCCCCCTCCCAGCAGTGACTACCCCCCCCCCCCAGTATTGGTTCATTATCTCAGCTCCCCCTCCCAGCAGGGACACAACTTGCTGCTGGTGTAATTTTCCTCCTATACATCATATATTTTCCTGATGCCTTTGCAGGCTCCGCCTTCTCCCACCACACTGATCCTCATTTCTCCCTACAAGTCCCATAGAGGGGATCTGCCATGCACATTCCGCCCAGTAGTCATGTGACCACCAACCTGAGCTCCAGGTCACATGACAAAACACAGCCTACAATGATTTCTTCCTTACAAGAAATGGATGTCAATACCAGTGACTTGTCACGTGACATGTGCAGCAATGTGACATCTGATCGAATGGAAGGAATGTTTGTTTGAACATTGTCAGCCAATCAGCAGCACGCGGTCACCGACCTGGAGTCAGACCTGTACGTAATGAATTAGTGGGAGCGCTCATGCCTGCGGGAATACACAGTGATGGACTACAACAACATGTCTCCCGTGTGCGGGACAAGGAGAATACAACTTATTCACACTCTAGTGATAAAAGCACGGAGTTTACTCTAGGTAGGCGGGGTTTAGGGGAGATGCGCACGATGATAGGTGGAATTGGCTGTCACTCGGGGAATGAGGGCGGAAACGAATGTGGAGGGCGCTGGTGAATGGTTGGGTGTCATTTCTCAGCGTGTGCGGTGATTGGCCAGTCTGTGTAGAGCAGTAAGTGGGGCAAAGGTCGGCCGGGTAAACCTTGTCCGAGGAGAGCGGCTGTCAGTCCCTGGAACAGCGAGCCCTCTCCGCATCACCATGTCCGACAAGGCGCAGGTCGTCAGCCCGCTGAAGAACTTCTTCGCCGGAGGGTTCGGCGGGGTGTGTCTGGTGTTCGCTGGACATCCTCTGGACACCATCAAAGTAAGACCGCTGAGGGGACCAGGGGCAGTACAAGGGTCTGCGGGGAGGGGGGCCCTGTAATGAGGGGGGGGGTGGCATGGGGGAGGGGGGTCCTGAGTAATGATAGGGTGGTATGGGGGAGGGGGGTCCTGTGTAATGACAGGGGGGTCATGTATAATGAAGGGGGGTGTGGGGGGGGGGTCCTGTGTAATGGAGGGTGTGGGGGGGGGGTCCTGTGTAATGGCAGAGGGGGGGCTTGTATAATGAAGGGGGGTGTGGGGTCCTGTGGGGGAGGAGGGCTCTGTGTAATGGGGAAGGGAGCACTGTATAATGAGGGGTTGGTGTGGGGGAGGAGGGCTCTGTGTAATTGTGGGGGAGGAGGGCTCTGTGTAATTGTGGGGGAGGAGGGCTCTGTGTAATTGTGGGGGAGGAGGGCTCTGTGTAATGGAGGGGTGGTGTGGGGGAGGAGGGCTCTGTGTAATGGAGGGGTGGTGTGGGGGAGGGCTCTGTGTAATTGTGGGGGAGGAGGGCTCTGTGTAATTGTGGGGGAGGAGGGCTCTGTGTAATTGTGGGGGAGGAGGGCTCTGTGTAATTGTGGGGGAGGAGGGCTCTGTGTAAAGGGGTTGTGGGGGAGGAGGGCTCTGTGTAATGGAGGGGTGGTGTGGGGGAGGAGGGCTCTGTGTAATATGTGGGGGAGGATGGGGCTCTGTGGTGGGGGAGGTGGGGGTAATGGGGACCCTGTGTAAAGGGATTGGTGGGGGAGGAGGGCTCTGTGTAATGGAGGGGTGGTGTGGGGGAGGAGGGCTCTGTGTAATGGATGGGGTGGTGTGGGGGAGGAGGGCTCTGTGTAATTGTGGGGGAGGATGGGTGTGTAATTGTGGGGGAGGGGGAGGGCTCTGTGTGTAGGATGATGGAGGGGGTGGTGTGGGGGAGGGGGGCTCTGTGTAATGATGGGGTGGTGTGGGGGAGGAGGGCTCTGTGTAATTGTGGGGGGGATGGGGCTCTGTGTAATTGTGGGGGAGGAGGGACCCTCTGTGTAATTGTGTGGGGAGGAATGTAATTGTGGGGGGGGGAGGAGGGCTCTGTGTAAATGGAGGGGTGGTGGGGGAGGAGGGCTCTGTGTAATGATGGGGTGGTGTGGGGGATGGGGACCCTGTGTAATGATGGGGTGGTGTGGGGGATGGGGACCCTGTGTAATGATGGGGTGGTGTGGGGGATGGGGACCCTGTGTAATGATGGGGTGGTGTGGGGGATGGGGACCCTGTGTAATGATGGGGTGGTGTGGGGGGGGATCCTGTGTAATGACCGGGTGGTGTGGGGGAGGGGATCCTGTGTAAAGATTGGGGTGGGGTGGGGGAGGGGTTCTGTATGGTATTGGGGTTTTCCCTCTAGGATTAGGGGAGTGTCTGTGAGATGTGTATTTGGGTGTCCTTTTGGTGGAGGGTATCTCAGGCCCTATTGGGGTGACCTGTAGATGTTGGGTTGCCAAGGAGACATTGAGGACCCCAGTAGGTGAAGGACTACCTGAGCAAGGCTGGGGTGCTCTGTAGGCAGTGAGTCACTCAGGTGACATTGGGGTCCCCTGTAGGAGGACTGCTTGCGTGGGTGATGTTGGGGTGTCATAGTGCTGTCCTTGCGACATTAAGGTGCCCTTTGGGAGTAGGGTGAAAGGTTGCTCAGGGGCAATGGGGTGCCCTGGCATTGTAGGGGCGTCTTGTCGGAGAGCAGCCCTGGGGGCATTGTAGGGGCGTCTTGTCGGAGAGCAGCCCTGGCATTGTAGGGGCGTCTTGTCGGAGAGCAGCCCTGGCATTGTTGGGGTTTCTTGTCGGAGGAGAGCAGCCCTGGCATTGTTGGGGTGTCTTGTCGGAGGAGAGCAGCCCTGGCATTGTTGGGGTGTCCAGTAGGAAGACACCCCAACTCAAGCAAAGTTGCCCAGACTGTGGCAGGCTGCCTGGGTACCATCAGAGGGCCTTGTAGGATTTGGCTGCTCAAGTGAGTTTAGGACACACCATAGGTTGCTGGCTTCTCAGGTGGTGTCGGGGTACCCCGTGGGTGGTAGGCTGCTTAGGCAGAAGGCTGCTCAGGTGACATTGGGATGCCTCGTGGAATGAGGGCTACGAAGGAGACCTTGAGATTCCCTTAGGGGGAGGGGGCTGCTCATCCCACGATGGGGTGCCCCATGGGTGGAAGTCTGCTCAGGTGACAGTGGGATGCCTCATGGGATGAGGGTACTAAGAAGGTATTGAGATTCCCTTGGGGGACGGGGCTCTTCATGCCACGTTTGGGGGCCCCATGGGTGGAAGGCTGACCTATAGGAGTTTCTTTCTTGAAGTATAGGGGTTTCTTGCCCGGGGAATGTGCAGCTGTTATGAGGATGATCTTCAGGAGGTGAGAGATGTCCGGTGATGGCAATGTCATCAGGGTCACTCCATCTACACAGCAGCCGGCATGAGCCTAGTCCACCTGTATTTGGGGTGTAACATGTTACCAAAGAGCACCTGTCCGCATCCTCCCCATTCTTTTGCTCCAACAGCGGGCAGAGGATCTCCTTCCTGCACCCGAGGTACGGGCAAACAGATATACTGGGATTTCTGCAGGAGCCTGACATGTGGATGCAATGCTCTGCAGGCTCCAGGAAAAACTGTAAATGCGCATTTTTTTTTTCACCTGCAAAAATATGTGCATTTATTTATATATTTATTTTTTTAAAGGTGCACTTATCCTTTAAATTGTACTGAAAAGAACAGCCCGAGGTGACAAATATTTTGGAGGTTTATGTACAGCCCGGAAAGTAACAAGTTGACAGTAAACAATGGATCCACCAGACATTACATGAAAATGGCCACCTGACCTGCGGACGGGGGTTTGGAAGTAACTGCGAGTATGCGCAATGTGTTCATTATCTGTGACATAAGTCAAGCCGGTTCTACGCGTTCCGATAACTTTGATCTTGCAACTAAAATTACAGGAACAGCTGAGCGCTGACCTGGCCCCAAAAAAAATCCATTCAAAGGTGACCCTTGCAGTGGGGCTGGTTGCCCTGCGGGGGGCAGTCATGTGAGTTGACACCTTCCAGTACATGTGGCCTTGCAGTTCTCTAGGTGAAAGGTAAGGAATGTCACACTTGTCAGCATATAGAAAACTTTCTAAACATATGATTGCTCTGTGGTTGCTGCGGTGCTCAGGCATTGGTTGCTTATCTGCACTGTGCGCACAATTATCAGGCGAGTGGGCAACACAGTGGATAAATGGTTAGCACTTCCACCTGGCAGTACTCGGGTCATTGGTTCAAATCCCAACCACGGCACCACCTGCCTAGAGTTTACATGTTCTCCCTGTGCCTGCGTGGCTTTCTTCCGGGTACTCCGGTTTCCTCCCACACTCCAAAGACATGCTGGTAGGTGAATTGGCTCCTGTCTAAATTGTCCCTAGTATGTGTATGTATGAATGTGAGTTAGGGACCTTAGATTGTACACCCCTTGAGGGTTAGGGACCTTAGATTGTACCCCCTTGAGGGTTAGGAACCTTAGATTGTACGCCCCTTGAGGGTTAGGGACCTTAGATTGTACGCCCCTTGAGGGTTAGGGACCTTAGATTGTACGCCCCTTGAGGGTTAGGGACCTTAGATTGTACGCCCCTTGAGGGTTAGATTGGACTGATGTGAATGTACAATATATATGTAAATTGACGGCGCTATATAAGTACCTGAAATAAATAAAATAAATATTGTGACCAGATCCTCATTTTTATGCATATTGTCCAACTCCAAGCTGTATAAAATTGAATGCTTATTGGATGTAAGCATATCAGGTGATGTGTATTTGTGTAATGAGGAGGGCGTGGCCTAAGGAGATCAACACACTATATCAAGGTGTGCATAATTATTAAGCAGCTTCTGTTCCTCAGGCTCAATGGGCCAGAAAATGAGATTTAACTGACTCTGAAAAGTCAAAAATTGTAAAAAGTCTTTCAGAGGGATGCAGCATTTAGGAATTTGCTAAGATATTGGGGCGTGATCACAGAACCATCAAACATTTTGTTGCAAATGGTCAACAAGAAATGCATTGAGAAAAAAAAAAATGCAAATTACCTGCCAAAGATTTGAGAAAAATCAAACGTGAAGCTACCAGGAAGACATTATCCTCCAGTGCTGTCATCTTCCAGAACTGCAACCTACCTGGAGTGCCCAGAAGTACGAGGTGTTTCGTGCTCAGAGACATGGCCAAGGTAAGGGAGGCTGAAATCCATCCATTACTGAACAAGACACATCAAGACTGGGCCAAGATATATCTGAAGACAGATTTTTCAAATGTTTTATGAACTGATGGGATGAAAGTGGCTCTTGACGGACCAGATGGACGGGCCCGTGGTTGGATCAGTAACTGGCACTCAGGAACGTTGACTCAGACGCCAGCAAGGGTGGAGGTGGAGTACTGGTATGGGCCGGTATTATTAAAGATGAGTTAGTTGGACATTTTTCGGGTTGAAGATGGACTCAAAATCAACTCCCAAACTTATAACAGTAATGGTGTGAACCTCCTGCGCTCCCAAGTGTATCAACTAAAAAACAAACGAAAAACACCTGGAGAAGCTGCTAACATTAAATCATATACCAGTGATTGTGTAAAATAAATACAATAAAGAATGTTGCGCTACTCCTTAAGATATATGTACACATAAATATTAAGTGATGTGTAATCTCAAAATTGCATCAATTTAAAAAAATAAAAATAATAAAAAATAAAAAGTGAAAGTGATATCAATTCATATTCATTATTAATTTGTGCCCATGATTCATTAAATCTATAAAAATAAATTCATATAATGGAAACAAGCAAGAAACACATTTAAAATATATATATAATACCGTGCATATAAAATCACACGTGCCTCTCGTGTAGTGGGAACACCCCAATACAACTATACATCAAACAGTGCTCACAAAGTCCAATAGGTATTAATAGTGATAAAAATAAAACACGAGCTTCCGATGCCTACAGTTGGTGACCATAAATAAAGAGAAATCATGTGGATCTTTGGGTGAATGTGAATTCTGACAATCCGACCACCATCTGGATTAGCCTCTCACCTCATCACTTCGACCCTTGCGAATTTTGAGATTACACATCACTTAATATTTATGTGTACATATATCTTAAGGAGTAGCGCAACATTCTTTATTGTATTTATTTTACACAACTCCCAAACTTACTGCCAGTTTTTAGAAGACCCTTTCTTCAAGCATTGGTACAGGAAAAAGTCTGCATCTTTCAAGAAGACCATGAAATGTATGCAGGACAATGCTCCATCACATGCATCAAAGTACTCCACTGCGTGGCTAGCCAGTAAAGGCCTTAAAGATGAAAGAATAATGATATGGCTCCCTTCCTCACATGACCTAAACCCTATTGAGAACTTGTGGGCCTTTCTCAAACCGGAGAGTTACGGTGAAGGAAAACAGTACACCTCTCTGAACAGTGTCTGGGAGGCTGTGGTTGCTGCTGCACAAAAAGTTGATCGTCAACAGATCAAGAAACTGACGGACTGCATGAATGGAAGGCTTATGGCTGTTACTGAAAAGAAGGGTGGCCTTTTGGTCATATTTGATATATATAATTATTATTATATATATTATATATATATATATATATATATATATTTTTATTATTTTTTTAAATGTCAAATGTTTATTTGTAAATTTTGAATTTTTTTTAATGCTCACTTTAATGAAAATAAATGAGATGGGAAAACTTTTTTTTTTTTTTTTTCATTTAGTTACATAATAATTCTGCTTACTAATCGTTGCCCAATAATTGTGCACATATACCGTATTTTTCGCCGTATAAGACGCACTTTTTCTTCCCAAAAACTGGGGGGGAAATGTCAGTGCGTCATATGGAGCGGCCGGTCCAGTATTTCCACCGCGGCCGTGTCAGAATACCGGGCCGGCCGCTCAGCTCTGCAGCGGGACCTTACCCGTTCCTCTATCCAGCGGCGTGCTGTCTTCCCGGCTTCTGTAGTGTGGGCACTGGGCATGACAGCCGGGTGCCAAGTGCGCATGCGCAAGAAGCGGCTGCTTTTTGTGAATGGTAAGGCGGTACCTGGGACACATGACAGATCCCAGAAGCCGCCGGACCAATCACAAAGCGCAAGTGCTTCTTCGCTCATGCGCACTGCGCACCCGGCTGTCATGCTGAGCGCCATTACAGAAGCCGGGAAGACAGCGCGCAGCTGGATCGAGGAACAGGTAAGATCAAACAAAAACTCTGCGGAAGTAAGAGCGGGTATCTGTCAAATTCAGGTACCCGCTCCCACCTCCCCAAAGGTCAGCAGTCATCTGTGCTGTCCGCAGTCTCTGGTCATCCCTGTGCTGTCCGCAGTCTCTGGTCATCCGCCCTGTGCTGTGCTGTCCGCAGTCTCTGGTCATCCCTGTGCTGTCCGCAGTCCTGTGTGCTGTCCGCAGTCTCTGGTCATCCCTGTGCTGTCCGCAGTCTCTGGTCATCCCTGTACTGTGTCTGCAGTCCATTAGTTCAGAATTTTTTTTTTTCCTGTTTTCTGCCTCTAAAACCTAGGTGCGTCTTATGGTTAGGTGTGTCTTATACGGCGAAAAATACGGTAGATCTTCTCCTAAGGAAGCCAAAACCTCACTTTTTTTACTTTAACTATTTAGGTTTGAGGTTTATTAACATTTTGGATTGACCGAGAGCTCTGTAGTTGTTCAATAATGAAATGAATCTTCAAAAATACAACTTGCCTGATAATTGTGCGCACAATGTATACCTGGGTCGTCTCTAGAGTTCTGGTTCAGTCACAAATAAGGTCACCATATCCATGAGACGGCAGGCAGCGAATCTCATAGTTGCACGATTGTTTTGTGGACTATGTTTTTGGTGCTATTTTGGAGCATTGGGCAGGTCATTCTAATGAGTGTTTGACCTCAGAATCATTTTAATTTGAGGTCTGAAGTGCATGCATTAGGTTTGATCTGCTTCAATATTATCAACCCCAGATCACTGACGCAGCCGCTGCTCCCAGTATGACATCCGCATGGGACGTGTGCTGGGTTCAAACACATCCATGGAGAAATCTGTGCTGGTCACTGCTTGGGACACTGAGATTTGTACTCATCCTAAGAGTTTAACTGGTGCGCAGCGGGGGGGGCCCTGAGGGCTGCACTGGGCGTGCGGCGGGGGGCCCTGAGGGCGCACTGAGGGCTGTGGTGTTCATGCGGGGGGGACCCTGAGGGCTGCACTGAGGGCTGTGGTGTTCATGCGGTGGGGGACCCTGAGAGCTGCAGTGTGATTGGTCACATATCTGTCACACGTTACATTCCTAAAATTAAAAAGAAAAAAAGTATTTAGCTAAACATTTAGTGTAAATAAAGTGTGTACATTGCCCGAGGGGTGGGGGGTGGGGGGGGGGGCTGGGTTGATTACTTTGATGCCTGGAGTTCTGCTTTTGCTAATATTTACTTTTATATTTTTGTAATCCATTTTGTGTTCATTTCACAGGTTCGCATTCAAACCCAACCAAAACCAACACCAGGAGTCCCAGCATTATATTCCGGAACCTTCGACTGCTTTAAAAAAACACTTGTAAATGAGGTGAGCGGGTTTTTTTTCCTGTGTTTTTCTATTCTGGTAATTTTAAAAGTTCTTTAGCCTAAAACATTTCTAAAGTGGAAGTGCGGACCCCGAGAGTTGCGCCGGCCACGGGAAAAAGTCAGAAATAACGTATATATGGAGCAGTGGAGTAGATTTTCTAAAACTGGAGCGCTCCAAATCTGGTGCAGCTGTGCATGGGAGCCAATCAGCTTCTAACTTCAGCTTGTTCAATAAAGCGTTGACAATAAAACCTGGAAGCTGATTGGTTTCTGTGCAGAGCTGCACCTGATTTTGCGCACTCCAGCTTTAGTAAATAACCCCCAGTGTGTCACCAGCATTAACACTACAGTTTTTGTTTTTCTCCCCTGTACCATAGTTATGTTTCCGGTTGACCCTGACCGGTTTTATCTTTTTTTTTTTTTTTTTCTCCTTAATCAGGGTGACACTTTATTTTTGCAGTGGGTTGCACAGCAGCGTTGTCACCCCCATGCACAGGGTAGAATGAATTGTAAAATGTTTTGTTTCGGAAGAAGTACGGCACTGGACACTGGGGTAGATTTACTAAAACTGGAGAGTGCAAAATCTGGTGTAGCTCTGCATGGGAGCCAGTCGGCTTCTAACTTCAGCTTGTTCAATTTAAGCTTTGACAGACAAAAAAAAAAAAACAAACTGAAAGCTGATTGGTTACTGTGTAGAGCTGCATCAGATTTTGCACTCTCAGTTTTTGTAAATCAACCCCTTTATATAAATCAGAACAAACACTTTTTAAGAGGGATCATTTTATTAAGAATTGCATGTACTGTTCGGTTTATGAGATGGGGGGTAGCAACACTGTTGCAAAGCAGGGCTCTGTGTGTATATATACAGCGTGAGCATGAATTAGGAGAATAAAAAATGGGGAGGTACCTGGATAATTTTTAACACCCCTTGTTCCAGAAGACAAAATGTTTTACTGATCAAAAATTGGCATAAAAAGACATTCAGCCAGGCTCCCTTTCATTGGTGGTCATTGGAGAAATGACTCATTGGAGAAATGACTCCTTCATTGGTGTCATTGAAGGGTTTCCTTACTTTTGGTGGTCATTGGAGAAATGACTCCTTCATTGGTGTCATTGAAGGGTTTTCCTTACTTTGTGGTCAGTGGAAGCAGTGGGGTGTCCCTTACATTGGTGATCCCCTATTGGTGGTCAGTGTCCCTTACATTGGGTAGTAACTCACTTCACAGTGGTCAGTGAGAGATTGTGCCTTCTTTGACATTTATGCTTTGAAAGGGAAGAACTCCCCCTACATTGGTGGTTAGTCGAAGCAAGGCATCCTTACATCATTGTGCATTGGTGGCAGTGGGAGAATGAACACTATTACATTGGTGATCAGTGGGAAGAATGCCCCTTACATTGGTGATCAGTGGGAAGAATGTCCCTTACATTGGTGGGAAGAATGTCAGTGGGAAGAACGCCCCTTACATTGGTGAATCAGTCAGTGGGGAAGAACGTCCCCTTACATTGGCGAAGAATGTCGGATCGGGAAGGATGCCCCTTACATTGGTGGTCAGTGGGAAGGTCGGCGGGAAGGATGCCCCTTACATTGGCGGTCGGCGGGAAGGATGCCCCTTACATTGGCGGTCGGCGGGAAGGATGCCCCTTACATTGGCGGTCGGCGGGAAGGATGCCCCCCTTACAGTGGCGATGTGGCGGCATTGGCGGTCGGAAGGATGCCCCTACACAGTGCCCCTTACATTGGCGGTCGGCGGTCATTGGGCGGGAAGGGCCCCTTACAGTGGCGGTCGGCGGGAAGAATGGAAACAGGCAGCTACAAAGATCATTAGTGTCATTCTGCCCAGTGGTGTCAACCATGGAATTTTTCAGGCACCATCAAATGGAGCACTAATCAGCTACTGCCTGAGGAACCCCTAGCGACCTCTTTAGGGACCGTAAAGATCCATAGAACCCTGTTTAAGAATAGCTACTCTACTGCTATCCTTCTCTGCAATGTATTACCACATTCAGGGGTTGTCTGCCTTTTCAGTGATCTTCATACTAACAGATCCCAAAGGAACTGCCCTTCCGCCTACAATCAAGGTGTTATGCCTATTGCTTCGTATGTTGACATTTTGTTATGCCACATTATGTTGTCACATGTTCTATTCTGTTGGCTTTGTATATTGTACATTAGTACATCCAGGGGTTGTATCTGTCTTTCCCGTGCTCTTCATACTAACAGACCTTAAAAGGAACTACCCTTCCACCATCAAGGAGTCATGCTTCTCGCTTTGTATGTTGCAGGGCATCAGGGGTCTCTACAAGGGAATGGCAGCGCCCATTATTGGAGTGACTCCCATGTTCGCCATCTGTTTTTTTGGCTTCGGCTTAGGAAAAAAGCTCCAGCAGAAACACCCGGAAGAAGTATTAACGTAAGTGCTGTACATGTTCTGTAGATTTCTGCATCCTTGGACCACAGAGTGGACAGACAATACCACAGTGACACTTGCAGATTAAAGAAATAAAATCAACTTTGTATTATAAATAAATAAAAATAAGCTGTCCCTCTCCTACCTGTATAAAGCACTATCCAGTCTTATAAATAATCATTCCCCTAGTTCTGATGTGGTGTATCCAGGGGAGACCGGATATAGTGAATGCAGGGTGCGGGGAGACCGGATATAGTGAATGCAGGGTGCGGGGAGACCGGATATAGTGAATGCAGGGTGCGGGGAGACCGGATATAGTGAATGCAGGGTGCGGGGAGACCGGATATAGTGAATGCAGGGTGCGGGGAGACCAGAGGATATAGTGAATGCAGGGTGCGGGGAGACCAGAGGATATAGTGAATGCAGGGTGCGGGGAGACCAGAGGATATAGTGAATGCGGGGTCCGGGGAGACCAGAGGATATAGTGAATGCAGGGTGCGGGGAGACCAGAGGATATAGTGAATGCGGGGTCCGGGGAGACCGGATATAGTGGGTGCGGGGAGACCGGATATAGTGAATGCAGGGTGCGGGGAGACCGGATAGTGAATGCAGGGTGCGGGGAGACCGGATATAGTGAATGCAGGGTGCGGGGAGACCGGATATAGTGAATGCAGGGTGCGGGGAGACCGGATATAGTGAATGCAGGGTGCGGGGGAGACCAGAGGATATAGTGAATGCAGGCTGACCAGAGGATGTAGTGAATGCAGGGTCCGGGGGGAGACCAGAGGATGTAGTGAATGCAGGGTCCGGGGAGACCAGAGGATATAGTGAATGGGGGGTCCGGGGAGACCAGAGGATGTAGTGAATGCAGGGTCCGGGGAGACCAGAGGATGTAGTGAATGCAGGGTCCGGGGAGACCAGAGGATGTAGTGAATGCAGGGTCCGGGGAGACCAGAAGATGTAGTGAATGCAGGGTCCGGGGAGACCAGAGGATGTAGTGAATGCAGGGTCCGGGGAGACCAGAGGATATAGTGAATGGGGGGTCCGGGGAGACCAGAGGATGTAGTGAATGCAGGGTCCGGGGTTTAATAACATTTTAAGACAAAACGTGACAAATCATTATAGTTTCCCTTTAAAGGGTAACTCCACTTTTGTGGGGAAAAAAAGCTAACAAAACAATACAGCATATACTATTGCGACACAAGTAATATTGTAAGTGAAGGTTATTAAAAATTACCTTTCCTTTTCACTCTGCTGTGCTGTGCTTCTCTGTAAAATACAGTATGGCTACCTGGAGGTGTTCTCTACAGAGAAGATGTACAGAAGGCTCACTGAAAAAGTTATTTCCTGCTTGTGTGATTGGCTCACTGATTTTCCCAGAAATCTGCACTAAGATTCAAGTCAGATTTTAGGCATCCCTTACAACAAAAATGTTTGGTGAGCTCTTTCCAAAGAGAAATCCCATCTAAAGGGATGCAGACCCTGCCACTTTCCTCCTCAGAGCTCTGCAGGTGCAGAAGCTGATTGATAATTGGGAAACCACTCCCATTAGATTCACACTGTACATGGATACAGAGAAACAAACAGCTATTTCTTCAGAATAACAAAAGGTCAGCATCTGCAACAAAGTTTAAAATCCTTGCAATGATCACTCAGGAGGAATATTTTTTTTTTTTCCTTAACAACAGTGAAGTTACTCTTTAACAGACCAAAGGGGGAACAAATAATTGTTAGGGTTTACCTGCACTTCTTAAAAATAACTTAAATAAAAATGAAAAAAACTTAAAAAATAACTAAAATAAATTGTTAATAATAATAATAAAGTGAAAAAAAAAACAAATAAAAACCCTTAAAATAAATTAATAATAAAAAAAAAAAATATATATATATATATTTTTTATTATTAATAAATAATATATATATATAATTAAAAAAAAAAAAAAAAAAAATATATATATATATATATATATATATATATATATATATATATATATATATATATATATATATATATATATATATAAAATTATATATAATTTTTTTTTTTTTTTAATTTAGGCTCTTACCATAATGAATAAAGAGACAATGTACAAAACCAATACACATTCACCTTTAGGTGTTCTGCATTAATACATCAGGGATGGAGTTGGCCTTTGATGCAATGATATATTGGGTTGCCCCCTTGTCATGTGCTAACTAACCTACTCTTTTATACAGCAAGTACTGGAGAGAGACATTGCTGCAGGCTTTGCCCCCTGAGGTGTATGTGCCCAGCAGTGTACATTGACATGGTGTAAGTGTTCTCGTACCTCGGTCAGTGTGTCACCCGTCCTCCCATTGTGCCCAAACCTTCTAACCAAGTCTGACGCCAATACGGTGCTGTGTTGATGTATTTTGCTAGCCTAGCCACACATGCGTCGGCTTTTCTTCCATCCGATCAAAATGTTTGATTGTATCTGAGGTACCTTCCATCCCCTCCATTGGCTACCTGTGTCATTGTGTTTGTGGATCCAATCAAATTTTGATAGAAAACAACCAATCACTGTTGAAATACCCCTTCAGTTACCTCACTTTTATTTCTCTGTGACAATGGTCCCCAGAACCAACCTAGTAAAAATCCCATTGATGGGGATGCAGGCAGCAAAAAAAAAACATGAGCAAGTCTAGGATTGCAGCTCCACCTCAAAATGTTCCAGTCCAGGTGGAAGTTCCGTTAGTTTGTTACAGGGCGGGCTTGTTATTTAAAAAAGCCAGCATGTTTCGGGGACTGTACTCCTCCCCATGCATCATGACTTGAAACAAAGAAAAATGTATACTAACTCAAAAATCAATGTAAATTTAGTTTTTTGGGTTTTTTTTTTTTTTTAATACCAATGGGTGATTTCACATTGTATTTGTCAGCAGCTGGTTCAAGCAACCTCATCAGGTTCCTTCAGATCAGTAGTCTCCAAACTGTGGCTTGTTGCCCTTTGACTGCCTTTATCTGGCCCTTGGGATACTATTCCTCCCACTGACACCAACACTGGGTAATAATTCCTGGCACTGACACCAACAATAGGTCACTATTCCTTCTTCTGACCCCAACAATGGAGTACTATTCTGACACCAATGATGGAGGCACTATTCCTCCCACTGACACCAATGATGTGGAGGCACTATTCCTCCCACTGTCACCAATGATGTGGAGGCACCGTTCCTCCCACTGACACCAGTGATGTGGAGGCACCGTTCCTCCCACTGACACCAGTGATGTGGAGGCACCGTTCCTCCCACTGACACCAGTGATGTGAGGCACGGTTCCTCCCACTGACACCAGTGATGTGGAGGCACGGTTCCTCCCACTGACACCAGTGATGTGGAGGCACGGTTCCTCCCACTGACACCAGTGATGTGGAGGCACGGGTTCCTCCCACTGACACCAGTGATGTGGAGGCACGGTTCCTCCCACTGACACCAGTGATGTGGAGGCACGGTTCCTCCCACTGACACCAGTGATGTGGAGGCACGGTTCCTCCCACTGACACCAGTGATGTGGAGGCACGGTTCCTCCCACTGACACCAGTGATGTGGAGGCACGGTTCCTCCCACTGACACCAGTGATGTGGAGGCACGGTTCCTCCCACTGACACCAGTGATGTGGAGGCACGGTTCCTCCCACTGACACCAGTGATGTGGAGGCACGGTTCCTCCCACTGACACCAGTGATGTGGAGGCACGGTTCCTCCCACTGACACCAGTGATGTGGAGGCACGGTTCCTCCCACTGACACCAGTGATGTGGAGGCACGGTTCCTCCCACTGACACCAGTGATGTGGAGGCACGGTTCCTCCCACTGACACCAGTGATGTGGAGGCACGGTTCCTCCCACTGACACCAGTGATGTGGAGGCACGGTTCCTCCCACTGACACCAGTGATGTGGAGGCACGGTTCCTCCCACTGACACCAGTGATGTGGAGGCACGGTTCCTCCCACTGACACCAGTGATGGGGCACTATTCCTTCTTTTGATGTCAACAATGGGCCACTGTTCCTCCAATTAATATCAGTGATGGGGCACTATTGAGTCCAGCCCTCCTAGAGTCTAAAGGACAGTAAACCGGCCCTTTGTTTAGAAAGTTTGGAGACCCCTGATCTAGTGGTTGCTGGGGGGGGGGGGGGCCTTGAGAAGCTCTACTGCCAATGAACCCTTACCCACTTCTGGAGGAACTTCACAGGTTGCTTGTTAATCAACCCTCATTTAGAGGAACTGCAGAGCTTGATTATTTTTTTTTTTTTTTTTTTTAATTCTTTTATTAAAGTAATCAAAGTAAATTTCACAAACGTTTTCGTGTTACAAGTTCCACAAAAATTCCACATAAAACAAAAACATTTCCAACAACAAACAAAATATCCATACAAAATTTTAAAAAAACAAAAAACATAAGCATTACATCATAATATATGTGTATATTTTTCCTCTCCTTTTTTTTTTTTTTTTTTTTTTTTTTTTTTTCCAACAAAAATACAAAAAACATATAATACAGACAATTCTGCATCTTGTCCTTGCACCGGATCGTTTTCATGAAAGAAGACCAGGCAGTGTCCTCCAGAAGATCCATAAGAATTTGGGACTAAGTAACACGAAAATCATGAAACACAACTATCTTTCCCTGACATCTAACATTTCAACACTCCTAACACTAACCCTCACATTTTAACCACAATCCCTTGAACATCCACAGGCCTGAAAAAAAAGAAAAAAAAAACAATTAAGGATCTGGTCAGGAAAAAACAAACACACACCTAGTGGTCAAAGGAAAAAAAAAAAGGTTTTACAACACCTCAGCGACATTATTAAGACTTATACTGGGCTATAGCCAACCTCAAGATGTCCAAGACTTCCATAAATTAAATTTCCATATCTTCCCTGCCTCCACAGCCCCCAGCTTTAGGCGATCATAATGCCCGAACTGCAGAGCTTGATTATTACATCAACCCCATTCAGGAGGAATCCCAGAGATTCTTGATTGTTAAGTAAACTTTTTTTCTTTACATCCTACTAATCACACAGCATAAGTTGTAGGTCTAATGATTTAAGTTTGGGTTCCCCGAGACCTAAAACTATTTGAGTGGGTTCCTGCAAGGTACAAAGGTTGACAGAGGTTGGTCCCGTGTGTGGAAGCTGCCAACCCAATATCCAGATGCTCCATAGTCCTACCACCAATATATATGGGATAAAATATAAATATAAAATATATAATGGGATATATCCCATTGGAAGAGAACAACTATACAGTATAATAATAATAGGTGTGTGGACATTTAAAAAAACTACTTGTCCAAGGGGGTAAATCGAGGTCCCAATCTACTTGTCCTGATTAAAAAAAAAAAAAAAATTTTATCCAAAACCGTAGACATCTGAGGAGCTTTTAGAAATGTCTGCGGCTTTTAAAAATGTAAGGGGCTTTATGGCAATGTAAACTTAATGCAGAACTCCAGTTAAAGGTTTCTGTACTGCATGGATCAGCTGCTCGAGGTTTTGTTTTTTTTCTTCTAGGGGTGAGGACTCGTTACTCACCTGTCGGTCCTATGGAAGACTGCACTCCCCTGTGGTCCAGCAGTGGACTGTTCCTGTCTGTGGAGTGCACATTGAGTGTGCTGACATCAGGAACAGGCCATTTACAAGACCATTGGACCGGGGGGGGCGGTAGTGGGAGGTTGAGAGGGCAGGAGCCGAAAGGACTGGTCTTGTGTGGGGAGGATTGGCAGGTCAGGTGAGTATATCTTCAGTATCCTCTCCCCTACTAGAACAAAACGTGAATTTAACCTGTGCAGTGCTGGTACAGCCCCACTGCACAGGCAAAGTACATTTTGTTTCCCCCAGATCTCTGCTGTTTGTTTGTAACATGATGTGTGTGTGTGTGTGTGTGTATGTATGTGTGTGTGTGTATATATATATATATATATATATATATATATATATATTTGTAATGTACAGCGCTGAGCGAACTATTGGTGCTATATATACTGTAAATAATAATATAGTAAATATATATATGGAAATAAGTATTTGATCCCCTGCTGAGTTTGAATGTTTGCTCGCTCACAAAGAAAATGATCAGTCTAAAAATCGAATGTTCAGTGTATTGTAACACTGAGAGACAGAATAGCAACAAAAAATTCAAAAGAAATGCATGTCTAACAAATGATGACGGATTTGTATGTTCATGAGGGAAATAAGTATTTGATCCCCTATCAGTCAGCAGGATTTCTGGCTACCAGGTGTCTTTCATACAGGTAACAAGCTGAGATTAGAAGCAGTCTCTTACAGGGAGTGCTGCTGATCTCATTTTGTTACCTGTATAAAAGACACCTGTCCACAGGCGCAATCAAACAATCAGATTCAAAACTCTCCACCATGGCAAAGACCAAAGAGCTGTCCAAGGATGTCAGGGACAAGATTGCAGACCTACACAAGACTGGACTGGGCTACCAAACTATGGCCAACCAGCTTGGTGAGAAGGTGACAACAGTTGGTGCAATCATTCACAAATGGAAGAAACACAAAACAAGTGTCAGTCTCCCTAGGTCTGGTGCACCATGCAAGATCTCACCTCGTGGAGTGTCAATGATCATGAGAACAGTGAGGAATCATCCCAGAACTACACGTGAGGATCTTGTCAATGATCTCCAGGCAGCTGGGACCACAGTCACCAAGAAAACAATTGGTAACACACTACGCCGACAAGGACTGAAATCCTGCAGTGCCCGCAAGGTCCCTCTGCTCAAGAAAGCACATGTCCAGGCCGTCTGAAGTTTGCCACTGAACATCTGAATGATACAGAGGAGGACTGGTGGGAAGTGTTGTGGTCAGATGAGACCAAAATCCAGCTCTTTGGCATCAACTCAACTCGCTGTGTTTGGAGGAGGAGGAATGCTGCCTATGACCCCAAGAACACCATCCCAACTGTCAAACATGGAAGTGGAAACATTCTGCTTTGGGGGTGTTTTTCTGCTAAGAGGACAGGACAACTGCACCGCATCAAAGGGACGATGAACGGGGCAATGTACCCTCAAATCTTGGGTGAGAACCTTCTTCCCTCAGCCAGGGCACTGAAAATGGGTCGTGTATGGGTGTTCCAGCATGACAATGACCCAAAATACACGGCCAAGGCAACAAAGGAGCGGCTCAAGAAGAAGCACATTAAGGTCCTGGAGTGGCCTAGCCAGTCTCCAGACCTTAATCTGATTGAAAATCTGTGGAGGGAGCTGAAAGTTCGAGTTGCCAAACGTCAGCCACCAAACCTTAATGACTTGGAGAGGATCTGCCAAGAGGAGTGGGCCAAAATCCCTCCTGAGATGTGTGCAAACCTGGGGGCCGACTCCAGGAAACGTCTGACCTCTGTGATTGCCAACAAGGGATTTGCCACCAAGTACTAAGCCATGTTTTGTGAAGGGGATCAAATACTTATTTCCCTCATGAACACGCAAATCAGTCATCATTTGATAGACATGCATTTCTGCTGAATTTGTTGTGGCTATTCTGTCTCTCAGTGTTACAATACACCGAACATTCGATTTTTAGACTGATCATTTCTATGTGAGTGGGCAAACATTCAAATTCAGCAGGGGAGCAAATACGCATTTCCTTCACTGTGAGTATGTGTATGTATGTGTGTGTGTGTATATATGTATGTATGTATATGTATGTGTGTGTGTGTATGTATATATATATGTATGTATGTGTGTATATATATATATATATATATATATATATATATATATATATATGTATATATACATACATACATACATACATCTGCACTTGCGGAAATTGTAACACCAGGCAGTGAACAATAAAATATATATATATAAAGTGCAGCGCTTAATAAAGTGACAAATAATTGGTGAAAAAAAATGTGAAAAATATATCATAATATGATATATTTTTCACAGTTTTTTTTCACCAATTATTTGTCACTTTATTATTTGCTTCGCTTGTTTGTGTTTTTTTTTTTTTTTTTTTTTTTTTTTCTTTTCCCACCACGTAGGGGACAAAGTCCCCTAAGTGATGATTTTTTGGTGACAGGTTCTCTTTAATGAGACATCCGGGGGCTTAAAGACCCTGCATGTCTGCTCTGGGCTCCACTGAATGTAATGCAGTGCAGATCGCACTGTATTACATTCTTTCCCGGCTTTGATGGTCGGGAAAACTGTCAACGGGGACCCCAGAAGTGATGTCATACATGACCTTTCTGGGTCAGGAAGAGGGCGTATGTCCGCTCTCCTCCTTCCCCTCAGCCCAACGGCACCCCCTATGCCCGTCCTGGGCCCGCATATGGGCAAGCGGAGCCCAGCATACATAGCGGGGGGCACGCCCTTCACTGGGGGGTGTGGAAGGATTTGGGCGGCAGCAAGGCTGCTATATGCTTCCACCTGACAGGTAAACCCGGCTGCTTGCCCGCCGTAGGGCTAAATGTAATTTAAAAAAAAAAAAAAAAAAAACTGCCTGCCCGGCGCCCCAGATGCATGTCCCGGGCGTCAGGCGATATAAATTGCACATCCCTGAGTGAACCTCCAGGGCTCCTGCTGCTTTAACCCACTTTTATTACAAATAAAAGCTCGACAGAGGGCCTAACCCTTCCCGACTATATCCAAAGCTAAAAGTGTGCTTAAATTAATAAAAACTGAAACTTTTTTTTCAAAGTGATTGAGGATGATTTTTCTTAAGCAGGCCATACATGGGTCGAATTCCAAACGATTTTTTGATCGAAAATCAAAAACATCGTTGTTCTGTAATCTGATGGTGCCACCAATGATTTCTAAAATCGGTCGTTTTTCATGAATTTTCCAGCATGGCTGCAAAATGGGGAGGAACCACAAAAATCGGCCGGAGCTATTGCCCCACTAACAGAGCAAAAATTGACTGATTGTTCTTGGGTCCGATTTTCAAATGAAAAGTCATTTAAAAATCGACCCATGTATGGCCGGCCGTAGATTTGATTGGATCTATCCAAGGTTGTAGACCCTTTTTCTTTGGGCAGGTCTGTCCCGTCTTCCTCCCTCTCTCTTTGTTCTTCGATATCTAAGTATACATTTATATATCTTGTTTCAAGGTATCCGCAGCTGTTTGCAGCAGGGATGTTGTCGGGAGTGTTCACCACTGGTATCATGGCCCCCGGGGAGAGGATTAAGTGTCTACTACAGGTAAGGACACTGATCACGTAAATGCAAGATCTAATGATTTTCTCGTCTTTTTTTTTTTTTTTTTTTTTTTTAGTGCCACCATCCTTGGTGTCAGTGGGAGGAATAGTGCCCCATCATTAGTGTCAGTGGGAGGAATAGTGCCCCACCCTTGGTGTCAGTGGGAGGAATAGTGCCCCACCCTTGGTGTCAGTGGGAGGAATAGTGCCCCACCCTTGGTGTCAGTGGGAGGAATAGTGCCCCACCCTTGGTGTCAGTGGGAGGAATAGTGCCCCACCCTTGGTGTCAGTGGGAGGAATAGTGCCCCACCCTTGGTGTCAGTGGGAGGAATAGTGCCCCACCCTTGGTGTCAGTGGGAGGAATAGTGCCCCACCCTTGGTGTCAGTGGGAGGAATAGTGCCCCACCCTTGGTGTCAGTGGGAAAATAGTGCCCCACTCTTGTCAGTGTCAGTGAGAAAAATAGTGCCCCATAGCTGGTGTCAGTGAGTGGGAAGGAACAGTGCCCCATTGTTGGAGTTAGTGGGAGGAATAGTGCCCCATCATTGGTGTCAGTGTATTGAATAGTGCCCCCCATCATTGGTGTGCTGGAGTTAGTGGAATGAATAGTGCCCCATTGTTGGTGTCAGTAAAGGAATAGTGCCCCTTTGTTGGAGTTAGTGGGAGGCATAATGCCTCAGGTGCCGGATAAAGGCAAGAATAGGGCCACATCTGGCCTCAGGGCCGCAGTTTGAAGACCATTGGCATAGAGAATTGATTTTTTTTTTTTTTTCTTCCTGTGCATTTTGGAACTTCAAGCTTTGCTCTGCACAACGCTCAGGTGTGAATGGGGCCTTAGCTGACTCGTGTGCACTGTGCAGTACCTCCTGCCAGCCTGCAGATGTCAGTGTTGCTTTCATTATATTTGAAAAGTCTGCAGTGCTGGGGTCTCCAGTCCTAAATGACGGTCTGCGGGGCGCAGGAGAGCATGCTGGGACTATCACTGTAGTGGCCTGAATAAACGCTTATTGCAATTTAAAAAAAAAATGTAACTTCTGAATCGCTTCTGCATTGTACATTGTACATTTCTGTCCAATCTTTGGTGGAACCTTGCCATTCCCTCTGTGCCACATGCAATGCTGAAAGCTGCATCTTCTCCATTTCTATTGTTCTCTTCTGCCTGTGCTTTCATTTATAATTAACTTGTGCGTCTCTGCATTTGTGCCTGTAATGTCTGTGATGTTCTTAGATGTCTACTGAAGTGACCTGAATATAATAATAAAGTTTACTAAACCCACAACAGTACAATCAGTCTGTAGATGCTTGTTATACTCACTGTGGAACCGAAGGGGTTAATCCTCTGCATTGTGTAAAAAAGGCTGTTTGATCCTGTCTTCTGTGATCCTCCCCTTCTTCTCCCTCTTATCTCCTGTGTGGAATCACTCTGCACATGCTCAGTTTGGTGTGCATTGCTAGCGGTTTTTTTTTCTCTTTGGGAGGGTGCACGTGATCAGTGCAGGGTCAATCAGCACTGTCCAGACAGAGGTCAGGGGTTCTGCATCCTCTTAGAGCAGAAGGAAAACTACTCCTGCAACCTTTAACCAGTGCTCTGCTGGACAATGATGTCTTACATCCCAGGAGTCTTCAGGAGGGTAGAAGGGGTTTTCTCAGCTAAGCACACCGTCCTACCTGCATGCTTGAGATAAGGGCCGATGGAAGTAAATGCTGCATAATTCTCCTGCCCTTATTCAAGATGGCCGTGGCTTGAAGTGCGTGCGTGCGTGTGTGCGTGTGTGCGTGTGTGCGGGTGTGTGTGTGTGTGGGCACACTGTCCTTCCTGCATGCCTGAGATAAGGTCAGATCGATCCCAAGAAGTAAATGCTACATAAATCTTCTGCCCTTTTTCAAGATGGCCGTGGCTTGAAGTGTGGTGTCTGTCTGTGTGTGTGCTTGTGTCACACCCTCCTTCCTGCATGCATGAGATAAGGTCAGATGGATCCCGGGAAGTAAATGCTACAAAAAGCAGTACTATGGGCGGCACAGTGGCTTAGTGGTTAGCACTTCTGCCTGGCTATACTAGGGTCATTGGTTCAAATCCCAACCACGGCACCACCTGCCTGGAGTTTGCATGTTCTCCCTGTGCCTGCGTGGGTTTCTTCGGGTACTCCAGTTTCCTCCCACACTCCAAAGACATGCTGGAAGATTAATTGGTTCCTGTCTAAATTGGCCCTAGTATGTGTATGTATGAATGGGAGTTGGGGACCTTAGATTGTACGCCCCTTGAGGGTTAGGGACCTTAGATTGTACGCCCCTTGAGGGTTAGGGACCTTAGATTGTACGCCCCTTGAGGGTTAGGGACTGATGTGAATGTACAATATATATGTAAAGTGCTGCGTGAATTGACGGCGCTATATAAGTACCTGAAATAAATAAATACATAAATCTTCTGCCCTTTTTCAAGATGGCCGTGGCTTGGTGCGTGTGTGTGTGTCACACCGTCCTTGCCTGCCAGAGATAAGGACAGATGGATCCCGGGAAGTAAATGCTACATAAATCTTCTGCCCTTTTTCAAGATGGCCATGGCTTGAAATGCCAGGGTGTGTGGGTTTGGGGGGGATATTGATGGGTGAGTTTTGAGTGTTCACACTTAGTAAAGTTTCACTTTAAGACCCTGGTTTATATATAAACCAATGGTGTGTAGTCCTTTACTTTCTTGCCTGAACTAGAAACATGCAAGGAAGAGTCTGATTGGTTGTTTTAGGCAGCATGGCTCTTGCAGACAGGGCCTGGGGGCCGGTGGCTTGGACTTACAGGAATGTCCGTTCGGATGCCCCTGTGCTTTCTTTCTCACACATAGAATGTTCCAAAATATGTTTTCTGCTAGACTGCGATGATGTATTTCTGTCTGTGGCCATTACACGGCTGCTCTGTTACTGATGTCACTGTTTAAATGTGGAATTCCAAATTCTGTGCCGTGTTCCGTGAAGGTTCCCGCGGCCCCGTCCTGCGGCTGTCATCCCAGCATCCTGCCGCCTTTCCCACTACTTTCCAGCCTTTATTGATCTAATGTAACTTCTTAGTGATAACATCGGTATGGGAACCCGAGGATTATTTCCGGCTGAAAATGGACACACAACATAATCCAGTGCAGATTCGAGGGAAAAAGTCTTTGTTTATGGGGCCTTAAAGTTGTAAAAGCTCAAGGTTTTGTTACCTTCATCCATTCTATTCATGAAGGTAAAAAAAACCTTCTGTGTGCAACACCCCCCCCCCCCCCCCCCTCTCAGCGCCCCCTAATACTCACCTAAGCCCCCTCTCGATCCAATGATGTGCACTGGAGTCTCGGCTATCCTGTGACTCCTTGTCCTCATTGGCTGAGACAGAAGCAGGAGCCATTGGCTCCCACCACTGTCAATCACAGCCAGTGAGCCAATGAGAAAAGGAAGGGGATGGGGCTGAGCTGCGTCTCCATGTGTGAATGGACACACGGAGCAGTGGGTGCCCCCAAAGCAAGCTGCTTGCTGTTGGGGCACCCAAAAGGAGGGAGGGGCCAGGGAGTGCCAGTGGGGGGACCCGAGAAGAGGAGGATCCGAGCTGCTCTGTGCAAAACCACTGCACATAGCAG